CAAACTCTGATCGTGATGTTCATAGTGGGGTGCAACATCCACGACTTCACCGCTCCTCTCCAATATGACGTGTTAATAATTATAAAATGGTATTTGTTCAAAGATCTGATATTAATAAAAAAAATGCGGTTTTCATGAGAAAGTACTGAATGGCAGCAATCTTATGCAGTGCACATCATAAATACAATGGAACATGTGTACCTTTCTTGTTAATGGCTATGTAGCGTAGCGTTTTCATCTATCATTTGAATGTATATACTTACATTACATTAAATATACATCCTCAAGGTCATTCCTTGTGCAAAGGCGTGCAAGATGAAAACATAGTGTTTTGCGAGTGAATGTCAGCATATTATATATTTTTGAATAACGTACTCTTTTTTTCGAATTTTACTTGCAGAATTTACAGAAAGGTGTTTGGAAATTAAAGGACATTGTGGCGAAATACAATTATTTAACGTGGCAGAACTGGCCCTTATACATGACAAAGTAAGGTCTGCTAGTGTCAATGACTGTTCATCATCATCCACAAGAGTCATGCTCAATCCACTGCTGGGTGATGACCTCAAGCCATCGTCACCTCTCATGATCCAATGGTGTAAGAATCCACTGAGTGCCTACACGCAATACCATTTGTACAAAATCCTTTTGTCCTCCCATCTCTGATGAACTGAGAAGGCGAGTGAGAGCAGGTTTGAATGGTTTTGGAAGACTGAATTTGATCGTGACAGTAAATATGCCTAAAGTTTTCAATCCTTGCATATATTTCCCGCTTGGACATTGATTGGAAACGTGAACACTGATAAGGACACGATAACAAACAAAAACAACTGAAAATTGCACAAGCGTGGCGAGAAGCGTGCTAAAAATAATACTGCGAACGAAAAAGGAAAACGTGCATAGGGGAACGAACGCACATTGAGGAACGTCGTTTTGACTATTATATTATTGGTTCTTTCGGTAAAGTCACGTAGAAGGGAAACAATAAAATAATGAAAATATAAAACAATAAAATTCTCACGACGTTTCGACTGAAACACAAGCAATCATCATCAGGTGTGAAAACCACAGCAAGAAAATGTGAAAAAGTGGCGGTTTTTTTTTTAACGTTAGCACCACGGAGAGCGATTTGACAGTTTGTTCAGATGAACGAGTCCATCTATGTTCGGAAAAGAGGAGGGGGGAGACGAAAATAATGGATGCGGTCTGAAAGCCACCGTAAGCGTGAACAATCAATTAAGACCCGAAATGGTTGATCAAATCCTTCCAATGATTGCTAAGCCAGAATCCATCTTCTCGGTTGAAATTGTCTCTGTGTTTGTATATGTGGATAGCCTCATGAACGAATCTCTCATGGTCGCCAGATGGCTTGTTTCCCTTCTACGTGGTGACTTTACCGAAAGATCCAAGAATATGAATCCCTGCAGTCACGAAAGCTTTAAGTCGTTTTGACTGTTAAACAAAAGTAAGCGGGCTTGGGCAGGACTGGTGATCACAAGAGGGTGACAAGCCAAAGAGGACAATAATCGTGGAGGTGGAGCGATCAAATTATCTGATGTGCAGGAGCAAGATGGATTATGGAATCGCCGGACCATGAGAGATGGTGACAACGTGGGAAGGTCTTCATCCACAAGTTAATTGATAATAGCTGTTAATGATGATGATGAAAATAATATAAAATAGTGACTTTCAAGCAGTTGAGGGTCACATTCAGGACAGAAGCAAAATAAAAAATATAAAAGTTTACACTAATTCGCTAAAATTGGTTCTGCTGAAACAGAAGTAAATTAGCAACAACGCGCTCTTCTGAATGAAGGTCGTTGGTTGTTATTTCAGGGCAGGAGAGATATGTGAAGGATGGGCACTGAGATGGGCAGAGGGGAAATGGGTAAAAGCCGAAATTGCACGGATTTAATGGAACTCAGCTGGTCCTCACTTGATTAATTACATGGCACTGATTGATCAACATGGTGAGCAGAAGCCAGGTGATTTCTTTGAATTATATTTAATAAATGATGATGAAGCGTAACACTACCCAATGTGACATTTCTTTATCATAATATTGAGCATTGATAGGTGTGAACAAGTATGAATTCATGGTAATTCGAGAACGAACGGTGACTATCAACATGAGGACATCTTAGCAAAATACGTATTAGAAACTGCTGTGCATTTTTTTGAGCTGAGAGTGGCTCCTGATCGCTATTGAAATCAATGAAGCATATATGTGAGGTTTGAATACTGAGTGATGGCATATGACCTGCGTGGAGGGCATGTGTGTGTGTGTCTAGGGGAGCGGTAGTGTAGTGGTTAGCGTGCTGTGCTACAAACCTGACAACCCGGGTTCTATTCCCACTCACGGCCAACACAAGTGACGATTATCTAAACCGGTCGTGGGCCTCCCCTAGGTGGACCCAGCCTCAAATGTGTACCTGGTACAATGTGTAAACATTGCCACTAGGGAGACAAAGGCGGTCGGGTGTGGTGCTGGCCCTCCACCCCGTCGTGTGCCGTTTCTGGCTTTCATAGGTGCTCGCTACCAGCACTTGTCCCAACAGTGTTAAGGCTATACGGGGAATGGTTGTCTTCTTTTTGTCTATGAGATGGGGGTGTGTGTGGCCCTGTGTGCTATGAGCATAGCAAATATTTGGGGGATGGGCGGTGATGGAAAGAGCCAACTGTTGAATTGGTGTGGGAGGCACATTAGCATGTGTTTGAGAACCGAAGGGGCTTTATGTCTCTCATGCATTGTGCACCACACTGAACAGCAAATTCACCGATATTTAAACATATTTCGGTTTTATACTCTTTGGTTCTATTCGGTAAAGTCACGTACGTGACGTACGTGACTTTACCGAATAGGTGACTTTACCAAATAGAACCAAAGAGTATGGATCCTTGCAGTCACGAAAGCTTCAAATCTAGAAATAATTCGGTTTTGTCATGCCCATTGAATACAACCAAATGCCATAAACCTCTCCATCTGCAAACAGCCACGCTCACCCGACCAGATGCCTGTTACATTTTACTGGACAAAAAAAGTCAAAAAGCATAACTGAGTTGAAAAAAAAGCTCACTATTACTAACGTAAGATCTGTAATTGTCTAATTAATATGAATATTATCATCGGCGTTTGATAACGGTATAACTTTTATACAGTAGTTCATATATGAGCATGCATTGATGGGAGATTGCATAAAATATACGTACATATCATCCAAACCCTGTCAACAGACGGGTCACACACACACACGTGTACAAGCATTTCCACGCCTTCAATGTTAGCGCGTGCCAAACAAACAAAAACACATTGTCTTGAAGCAATAAAACAACAACAAAAATAAACATTCAGCATGGCTTGCAGTCTGGCTGCAGTCCTGCGGTGAAGCCTCATTAGCACAGAGTGCCTATCGCCGTGGCAACTGGGTTTTCACGTGACGCTGGCAGAGGGGACCGCGACAAGTGGGGAACCATTCAGCCCGCACTGCGAAGGGCCATTGAGAGCGACGGCGTAGCCAGGCACCCTCGCACAGGCATGCGCGCGCAGGTCACCGCTTCATCTGGGTGGGTCACACCGAGCGAAAGCCAAGGAACACCTGCTGTCCTAATGGACCCACGATGGGCGTGTGGTGGCGGGCGGCACTGGCTGTCAGAGTGAGGAATGGGTGGTGGTGGTGATGGTGATGGGGGAGGTCAATGCAATCACTGGGAACACTCGCTGATGTCTTTTCGGGTTGTACCGCACGATGTCCGACATTTCGCTCCAGCTGCTGGGAGCCTCCAGAGGGAACTGAATTGGGCCCGCTCGGATTCTCCCTCGATTTTATGGCATCTGTCGGCTGCTGCCGGTGTCCGATGTAGGCCGAACGATGTCGTCCATGGGCTTCATCTGGGACGAAACCTAAGTACCCCGAGGTAGCAAGCGATGAGCTTCCTCCAGGCACTCTCTCATTCTGCTCCCCGCTCATCAAGGCTCCTGATTCGGAAGACGCCAAGTAGAGAGTGTCTGCTTTACACGCGTAGTTTAAGTGGTGGGTTTTAATGCCTCCTCCGTCAAATTTTAAAACAACTCCAAACAAACAAAAAATCGGACCGTGCAGATGCGCACCAGTCTCCTTGCAGGTCGCGTAACTTTGTTTACTTTTGGGACGACAGAAGGAATCAGTGCAACTCAAATGACCCGCCACTGACATACAGACCGGATTTCACTCGCAACTGTATTGCGCATACTAATGGTGTGATATTTATTAACGCCTAGCACTTTTCTTCCTGCCTCACCTCTGCGGAGTGGAAGCCCTCCGAGAGACTGGCAGTGAGGAGAAAGGTGTTAATGAATCAAGTTACGCGGTGTAATTTCAGGTATAAATATAGACGTGTGGTATTTTAATGAGACAGACTGTGGCTTCCGATATTAAAATCAGGTTGAGGATATGATGTACACTTAGGCACACACACACACACACACTTCACGTACATTTTACAAAACATAAGTAATTTACTAAAGATGTTAAACGACGCGGGACACTACCAGAGTACGCTAATGTAATACAGAATATACAAACAAATGTAGCCAAATAAAAAAATAAGATGCCTGCAATATGCAAAACACATGCATTGAACAAGTCACCAAGGAGTTCATTTGACTGCATTGGATGGCTACAGAATAGTTTCCATGGAAATTCACAAAACAAATCTTTGTTGAGCAAGCATGCCCTTTGAGTCTCCTTACTATATATAGTCAGGATGTTGGGGAATTGCTTTGAGATTTGAGCAAAAACACATGCTGAAAAATGTATATCCTTATATCATCCATCACTGATCGCAAAAAAGTTTCGTAGGTGATTGCTTTGAATAATTTGAATATCTGTTAGCACTAAACATTCCTATTTAAACAAAATCAGGGTTAAAATAATAATTTTAAAACAATATAAAACAAACTTCATTTGTTATAACAAAAGCACAGGCTCAATAATAATAATACAAGTTACGTGTATTCTTACCTCTAAAATATACGTTCCCAAATCTCTGACGATCATTTTGCACATTTCTATCCGTATTATACGGGTGATGCAATTCCATTACATGGTTTAAATTACTTTTTGTACGTTTCTATTTTAATAACATTTTACCGCATTTGTCAGCGAGGCAACTTGAGTTTTGGAAGCACCAAGTTGCTGGTCCATGTCCTTTATGAGACAGATAGTAGCGTGAGTGAGCAGCCTCCACTCCTCGTCGTAGATTATACACGGTCTCAGTGCGGATTCACAACAGCTGTGCTCTACCGTAAAACGTCCAAGGTCTGACATCACGCACTTATATTTATATCCGGTAACGTTTATGCATATATATTTCTTAGAATGATCAATTTCCCTTTAAGGAGCAACTGCCAAATATGAACCTCGGTATTTTTTTTTCTTCTTCTCCAATGGCTTGTGGACATAAAACTAAACAACATTCACAAGAAGACATTTCACATGTGCCTTTAACTCGGCTATCTCCCTCTATCTGCATGCCCCTACTGTATATAGCATGCGACGTTAAAACGGTTACTAAAATTACACACAAAAACCTGAATAGCATTTGTCCCCTGAGACTGACAGTTTTCCCACTTAGTTATTTTTTTACATTTTTTTTTATCACATTAGGAAGTTCGAAATGGAATGAAAGAAATGCTATTCCCAGCAAAGTGGTGCCGTTATGAGTGCACATATGCTCATGAAAGGAGTTGTTTATTTTCTACAAACGTGCAGCACTGGCCATGTCCCAGCTGTCCCTGCGGTAGCCTCTGTACTGACCGTGTGCTGCTGTGACATGTAAGCTCAGATGGAGCTCCGCGTTGTGTTTCCTTTCACGCAAGACAAGCATTTTCAATTTAGCCCAGACTCACACCGTCAAGTCCACGGGGGTGTCTGCTAAATGCTAATGCGATTACGTTTCAAGCGCACGTTAGAATAAATTGTAAAGTGTTAGCATGAACAAAAATAGAATACTAATACATTATCACTTGTTATTGAATTACTGTGCGTGCAGCTCTCACTCATCTCTTGGGTTTCGTAATTTTTATTCTTGCTCAATTGCATTAGATCTACATATGCATACGTATCCCGCTGTGTTTTTCAGTTGTGCTCATCCAACAATTGTTTGCTTGTTTAGCAAACTGATAGTAATTGGAGTACCTTGAGAAAACCCACACATACAATGGGATAACACAGATATTCAATTATTCGTTCCTGTACTACCATTTCCTGGCCTCATTTTTTTAAAACCATTTTCTTTAAAATGTAAATACAGAGGCCTCTATTTACGTGCAATGAAGAAGGGCCATTGCTCAGAACGTCACCGGTATACTTTTCGTGTTAAGGCCATAATGTTATTGATCAATGTGTTGAGTTTGTTTTCGTTTGAGTGTGGTGAGAGCTGCAAGCATATTAGACATAGCAAATAATTCCAGGCCAACATCCACGTGTAGTGACAAGTACCTGCTTTCATAATTTCAAATTAGTTCTTCCAGCCCCAGCATTACACAGATGTGCTTGATGCATCTTCAATGTCGCAGGCATAATTGGCACTCAGGCAGGTGAGTGGTTGCTGCATCTCTTTGAACAAAATAGCACACGAAATGAATACTAAAAAGACGTGGCAATTTTATACAATTTTCTATAGGTCAAAACCAGTTGATAGATTCGTTTCTTTCTGGCTTTGAGTGATATGATTAGGCTTTTTTGAGCGCTGTGCAATTTTAGGAGCTATTTTGCGAAAAGATATACGTCAGAAATAAAGGCATACGTGTAAAGTGAAGAAACGATTAACCATCTCAGATTCACTTCCTAATTATAGCGACCAATGGAATAGACCCCAAGAAATGGTTGTAGAACTTCTGAGAAAAGAGGGCTGCAAAGTTGGGCTCAAGAGATATACTGGCAACACACGAAGTTAATTTCTTCCCAGATGCCAAAAAAACGATTGGCGGGCGATCTTCGCTGGGTAGATGACATGTCGTGTTTTCACACGTGACAGGGAAAACAACGATAAATTATCCATAAGCAGCTCCTCATGCCATCGAATGGATAACAAACTCAACATACGGTTGTAAAATTTTGGCAGTTTGTTTTTTCAAATGGTATGCAAAAGAGAGATATATCGTAACCATTCATGGTCAATCCACTGCTGGATGAAGTCCTCCCCAAGCCACCACCATCCCTCACAGTTCTCCGATGTAACACGTCACCTAGCACCTGTGCACGAGCTGATTTCAGGACTCCATCTCCTCGGTCGATGTCCCCTGAAAATATATATTTTTTAAATTACTTGTAATAAATAATATAGTGCAATTGAACTCCATAGTAATCATACACCTGCATCATGTTGCCTTCGTGGCATGACCCAGCACATGGGGTGAAACGTCGGACATCACACCGAACAACGCGCAGTACAGCCCAAAAGACATTGGAGCAGAAGACTTCCCTGGTTCAGCTGCTGATCGTTGCATAACTTGATCCCATGCTCCAAATCGAACGATGTCTGCAAGAAGTTGTGTTGGAGACACGTGGCCTTTATTCAGTTTTTGTTTTGCCCGAGATGTTGTGAGTGAATATTCATTCCACAAACCAACAGAGAGCGCTATCTTGGTTAAAAAAAAATATAGGCACATTTACGAGTTTCTCCAGGCGAGAAGTCAAGGTAAGTTCGCTTTCGGGGGAGTTCTTAGCCCACTCACCTGGAGAATTTCAAGAATGAAAAGAGAGTTATGTTCGACTGGTGCCTCTAGGTTATTCGCGGTACGGACAGGGGAAACAAATGTCCTCGTACAAAACAGGTAAGGTCACAGACATCTATTAAGTAAACATTAAAGACTAGCATTCAGATTATTCATGTATTATTAAATAGTTCTTGTTAAACGGCGTGGGTTTTAACGACCCTTCGTTCATTAGGCTGATGTCAAAATAATCCAGCTTATGGTGTCGTCAAAAATTGGACTGCAAAGATTCACAGACTCGTATGCGCCAACTGGTTATTGAAAGGCAGTCATGTGTGTCGGCCCAACCCTTTTTTTAAACAGAATACTAAATACCATACATTTAAAAAAGTGTACCAACAAATTGAAAACATTCTTGATCTCCCGTTCTTGTTCAGCAACGCAAGGGGAGAGGGTTCAAACCTTATTGCAGTGTTTCCATTGTGGAGGAAGGGTGGGACATAAGAAACTCATCATGGATACATGCGATGATTTGTGGCGATAGCAGCAGTATTTTCAGTTACGGAATTGGCATTTCATGTTTTGCGCTGAATCTCATTGAAATGTCATGAAATTATCATTGTTTACCTTTCTTGTACTTTGCACTCTATCATGTTGTTGTGCTGTTTCTTGTTGTAACGTTCTTACCCCCACCTACTGGACATCTGTAAAAAAGGAGCTTTATACCTCATTGGATGGATTCCTACAGTATAAATATTCAGATTCATCGATATCCACTGACGAGATAGAGCCATGAAATAATTCCGTGTGGAGGTGGCTAGGTGTATTATAACTGAGCAATATCACGCGATGTGATGGGGACCTGAGGAGGCCTAAGAGTTAGGGTTGTTCCGGAGTGCCTTGACCATGACTGATGATAATGGTTATTATTACTACATCACTGAGATATGTTGTTTATAAATAACATTCCAACTCAGAATCATGAACAATTGGGGATCTTTTCACCACACCAGTGTGTAGCTTGTGCATCAAGCATGCATTTCTTGAAGAGCGCATGCTCTTTAAGTGGGGAGCAGGAGACCAGGGTGCACAATCGTTTCCAGCTGTGAAGTCCGTCAGGGCGTTCCGGGCTTGCTGGTTACCCTACACGTGCTTGAATGGTGTCACGTGGTTCGGTGGCTATGTGGGCTGACGTTCACGACCATAAAATTAAAAAATCTACATATTTAGTTATATATTTATTCGTGTTTATCTGGTGCTCGAAACTCATGTGAAAGTCAAATCTTGACTTAAAGCTTTCGTGACTGCAGGAATTCATATCATTTGGGTCTTTCGGTAAAGTCACGTAGATAGGTTCAAATAAAATAACAAAAAAAACTACGACGTTTCGATCGCAACACAAGAGGATGTCATCAGGAAAGCCGTTCGTAGTTCTAGACCTCCTTTGCCAGTACCAAAATGTAATAATAGGGTTTTTCTCCTTTTTTTCTGGCAACAAAACTGAAACCTTTTTACAAGGATTCATGTCTGTATTAACCACAATACCTGCAGTCAAAATGCAAACAAAAAACATACTATGATAATATGATGCAATGTTCTTGAAACTGATTGGTCCACACCAAGGGACGGCTTTCTTTTGAGCCTCGACCCAATTGGTGCTCGACCAGATGACGCCTTTTGGCTCAAAAGAAAGCCGTCCCTTGGTGTGGACCAATCAGTTTCAAGGGCAATGCATATATTATCTTAGTATGTTTTTTGTTTGCATTTTCACTGCAGGTATTGTGGTTAATGCAGACATGAATCCTCGTAAAAAGGTTTCAGCTTTGTTGCCAGAAAAAAGGAGAAAAACCCTATTATTACCGTTTGTAGTTTTTGGTTATTTTATTTGAACTTATCGACGTGACTTTACCGAAAGACCCAAATAATATGTGAAAGTCACTTGTGAAAGCATTCGCTAAACACATACTTAAGCATCATAAGTGAACCTTAATTTCGACTGAGATAAAAAAAAACACAGTTTGTCTCGAAAATAATTAACAAGATTGCAGCGGGTAAAGTTTTGCAACTAGAGCTACTTTGTGACAGCACAGGCATGGATTCAATCATGAGAATACCTGCTGAGTGCAGGCAGAATGGGCTAAGATTGTATCAGGGAGTAGCCTCAGCATGGGATGCCATGTCATTCAAGTGAAATGACAATTTGGATGTAAATACAGCGGCTTCGGTGAAACGCCATCTTGTGCTGCTGTGCAAAAGGTGGAACATGCAACATGAGGATTAGAGGGAGGTGTTTACGTATTACAGCATTAAACTATTTTATTTATTTACCAATTAAAGTCCACTGAGCTGTCCGCTCTTTTTCAGAGGCTACCTGGCCAGAAATGATCACTCATCGAAGCGACCAATATCATCACACGCGGGATTGTATCACAGCCAAATATTCTAAACGCACGTTTCTAAATGTGGAGGGGAAACACCTGAACAAATATACACGTGACCACAGGACGAACATATGGACTCCAAATATACAACAGGC